TCCTGCTGTGGAATGTGCATATGTAGACAGTGACTGGAAAAATTGTTTTCCATTAAGCAAATCCACAGACCTGATTGAGGAAGGCCTCCGGTAATTTGTATGCATAATACAGTCACCACTTGAATTTCCATTTAAGGCTCTGAAAAACATTTTACTCTAATCCTAGCAGATACTATCTTCACTCACAGCGTACCTACGACAGAGCCATCTATCTGAGCAGGCAGCACTTCCCTAAGAAATCCCCCTGTGTTCAGATCTGACTGTATTAGCTTAGCTAACAAGTTTTATTTCACCTAAGAAAGAAAAATTGAAGGGATTTTCAAAGGCATTTTACTGGATGCCAGGTTTTTAATTTATTTATCTAATCACTAACAGAAGTCTAATGGCAAGCACAGAAGATAGAAAGTCTGTGTGTGTGCGAGAAAACCTAAACCTATCATTTGCAACCTGTCAGACAACAGCTATATTGAAGAAAATGGAAGATTAGATATTGTTTCAGAAGAGATGCAGGCATCATCACCAAATGGGCTGTAATAGAACACAGTAAGGGAGGGCTATTCCAAATTTTGTCATATTTTTGAATGAAATGTAAAAACACTGCAAAATTTTCATGACAAATATTTATTATTTTATCAATTCTAAGCTAGTTAGAACATTTTTAATAAGAATACAGGCAACTTTTTTACATTATCCAAATAACATAAAAGAAGACTAAACAGAAAAGATTTTGAAAGGATCTCTTGGCTCACAAATAAAAAATGAGAGAAAAATAGAGCCCTTATTCCCAATTCCAGCTCCCAAGGCAGCCAGTGGGTGTTTTACTACTGCTTTCAGTACTGGAAGTCATTCCTTGGCTCAAATAACAGGAGAAAGATCAATTCCCATAGGGTATGTCTGTATCATGCACGTGTAGTGAGTGCTGCTTTAGAGATCCTTCAGCACCAGCCACCCGCATGGCTGGGTCTATGGGCAGCTGTGAGGCGAGGGACGCCCCGGGTGTCTCAAGCACCGCACCGCTCTGGCACTGCGAGGCTGGGCTGCTCCTCTGCCAGAGCTAGCCGGCGTGCAACCTCTTGGGGTACGTCCACATAGTTCTCCATTTCTTGGCATAGATGCACCCTCAGTGAGCTATAAAGCCACATGGGTTGGAGCCAAGGTATCTTAAATATTGACTCATGGTCTGGGTTGGAGATCAGGGCAGACAGTTTCATTCCTCTTGGCACAATGAAAGTCTCTAAAATAAGGGTAAATCTCATCTGTACAGTATAACTTTTTTTAAGGGGCCAGCCTAAAAATGAACTCCCTCAGGAACAAGATGCTATCATAAATCTTACTGTCTTCTGCTCTGAGGTCAAAATTATTTCTTCCACCTGACCTTCTCTAGTAGTTGTATAGCAATACAGAAGGTGCACATATTAGAAAAAAAAGCTCATCTAAAACACCTGATTGCTCAACAGTTCTGCTCCTGGGGCAGAGAATGAAAGAAAACACCCATTGCTGATCAAGTGTTGTACTGCCTAGTACAGCGCTGAAAGATGTACAGTGAAGACAGAGGTACAAAGGCTACAGCAGAATTACCTGTTTTTCCAATAGGGCAGGGATTTGGAGGGTCAGGATATCCTTGATCTTCACTGAAATCCTTTGGTACGTTATCTCCTGTCAGCTCAGCCACGATGTTTGGGATATTGCCATAAGGACCCAAGTGCTGGAGACCCTCATGCGCACCACCTAGCAAAGACGATTTACGCACACAATCTTTGTACAAGATGAAAAATGTAAGTACTTTAGTTGCCTTAAGTAATCCATACTTAGATTTTTTTAAAAATATATATACAATTGTTATAGAGACAGATCCAAGTTTAGATTTCAAATGTCTCTTTTAGAAAGATAATCCTGTGACCTAAACCAGATAACTTAGGTAACAAAAGATGAAACTAGGAAACAAAATCAGCCAGTTATTATTAATCTTAGGGTTGTTTTTTTCCTTAAATATGTAAGTTATAGGCAAGAAAAAGAAACATGAGGCAGTAACAGAACTTAATAAATTTACTGCACAATCATTTTCAGTCACTGATACTGTTCATCATAGCAACTAATAATTGAAGAAGATATGGCAAGACAGCATCATGGCAAGAAGACAAAGTTAATGACACTGCAGAAAGAAATAATTCTATTTGCACAGCCTAGAAATACAATAATAAATTAAATCATGTTAGGGGACCCAAGATATTATAGCAAATTTGGTTGTATACAGCTAGGAAAGCTATTTTTAAATCAAACCATTTCTTAAATGCAAATTTGAGTTTCCTGCAGTAATGGTGAAAAGTGATTAAGAGTCCATGTTGTTGATGGGAATCCTTGTGCATGTACACGTACATGGTAGTCATTATGGTATGAAACATTACATTCAGTGACTTTTACACCTCTACTTAATAGATCAGTTCTAGATGCAGGCTTTTATATTTGCCCTGTGGGACTCAGAGCACCGTCACTGCAGGGCTGCAACAGCAGGTTTTATAACTCAGCGGCAGAGGATACGATGATGGATTTCCTGTTCTTGAGGAAATGCACACGGAAGTGATGTGCTACAGCTTTCTTCCATGCATCTCAGCTTGGGCACCTTGCTTTTGACAAGTAGGGTCTTGGTTTGGGAACCAAGCTCAGGCCATTCTCTCCATATGCCTCTCTACAAATATTTGTCTGCTCCAGATCTCTTCTGCAGGCATTACTGGCCAAATGCACGTATGGGCTAAAATCCAACTGCTTGTGGAGTATTCTGAATACTATTGTACAGAATTTCAGACAAATAAAAACTCAGTTTTAAGCATGCTTTTTCCCTGCCATAAGACAGCCACCGTACACACTGCAACAGCTAATGTAGTTGTTGAGCACTAAGATGGTTGTGTGATAGCAGAGCGACATTTTTTTAAAACCCTATGTAACGAGGGATAACAACATACAGTCAACATATAAATTCCAGTAACAATGAATGAGAGAAAGAGGAATTTGAATGATTGGAATATGTGAGTTAAAGAGTGAACACAGACACAACTGTCTCAGTAAATAGCACCATCACCATATTAACACCAAATAGTCTTATTTTCAGTTTCATAGGTCCAAAAGATTGGAATAAAGCTTCTGAACATGAAAGCTGCTCCAGAAGAATCGTGCAAGTACTCCTGTCCCAACTTACAAATAAATATTACCAGCCTAAATCATCTTTTATACAGCTAGGCATTGTAAGCTAACATAATCACTTAAAAAAATTGCTGACATAAGGCAGTCTTGACAAATTTTGTATTCATTTCTACATTTAGAAGTGGTAGTTGAGTCCAATTCTCTATATTTCCAAATAATGAATTTGGAAGCTGGCATTATAGTACCAGAAGCAAGTTAGTCTATAAGCATATATATTTCCACTTTATTTGCATGATGGACTAAAATCTAATCAACATGCTAATTTTCCCCCTCAAGTACAAGTTTCTTATTCTGCAATGCAATGTTGAAGGAAAGTTTTACAGATACGTAAAAGTAGCCCTATAAAAAATTTGCATCTGTGTTACATGAATTTTCCCTCGTAGCTGACCATGAGACCTGGTACTAAAACCAGAATAATATTATACACACTATGAACTTTATTATACCTTTACAGTCTATAGCCAACACAAAGATGATGCTTGTAAGAACTGTATAGATTCACAATAATGCTATGGTGATGAGGTTAAAAAAATGTATAACGTACATTTAATGTCATTTAATGTATAGCATAAAATATTTCTTTTCTACTGAGCTCCTTCACATGAAGATTGATTGCATATATGTACTTAAAAGCATCAGGTTATGATTCTGCTGTAAGCTACAGAACCACATAATCAATACGTGTTTGAATATCCTGTATACAATGTGGTTCGCTATGGGACAATTCATCAGATAGAAGTGTATCTACGCTTGTATGTGGTGCAGACCTCTTGGCACCAAAGCTCCATCCATAAAGAAAACAGAGGTACTTAGCAGGCTCCAGTGTGCTATATATACATGTAAGTTTAAACTGACTGCCAAGAATTCCCTTGACTGAGTACAAAACAATCTTTTTATATTAATATAAAAGATTGTTTCCTTTAGGTATAAATGTCCAGGATTGTTTAAGGGTTTTTCCTTTCTTTCCAAAAGAGCTGGAGACAATAGCACCTGCTCTGGTGCCATAATTTAGCACGCTTGGATTAATTTAATAGCGCTAGCAAAGCTCATTCCTTATAAACTCTGATAAATAGTGCACTCAGTGAAGACTGCAATAATAAAAATGAAATGCTATGAATATACCAAGTAGGGGTATTATGTACAGTAATTCACAAGCTGCATTCATTTTGGTATTGTAATATTACTGATTTGAAGAAATGTTAGGATTAGATACATTGCAGCTACCAAGTCAAAATATTGTGATACCAACATATACAGTCAGCTACAAAAATAGTACAAGATGGGTCTCTTGGACCTTGAGGCAGAGATTGAAAGAAAAAGACAAGACTACTGAATATGAAGGAACTTTTCATAATTTCCTATCCAAGAGAAGCATAAGACACACCATTGTTAAATTATTTGAAACTGGAGTAGCAAAAATCCACAAGAATAGTACAAAGAACACCCTTATACTAAGAAAGGACGAGCTGGATAAATCTATGTTTTCCCCATCTCTCCTTATCTCTTGTATGAACTGGCTTTTGTGTGCCACATACTAGCAAAAAAACCCCTTCAGAACAGTCCGGTCCCTTTCATATGCAGGATTTCTGTGTAAGCATGTAGTTATTTTACATCGCTACAGGATAAACTGGAAGTTTAGGGATTTTGGACTGAGATCAGTATTGTTATCAGTAAGCTTTGGATTTCATTTAAAATATATGGGTATGTGTAACCACCTTCTGGCACTGGTCTTGAACAGTTGCAAGGTGGAAAACAAAAATGGAACAGTGCCTCTCCTCTTTCCTATAATTATGGAAAAGTTTTTAATCATCTCACCAACTGCTGGTATCATCTCAATCAGAGATACTTGGAATGACTAAAAATTTAAAGTGAACACATTTTAGCTCATTTTTTTGTAGGAGTGATACTGTCTCTGTGGGTGGGAGGACAACACAAGCACCCTGTTCTTGGAGGAAAAAAAAAAAAAGAAGAAGAAGAAAAAAAGGAACAGAAAATACAAAGAGTGACCAATTTCCTGCCAGTATTGAATATTCCCCTCATCAAACACATCCAATGGAAATGCTGTTGATCCACTGAAGTTCTAGTTGCTGCTACCCATCTATCAGTAGCCTAAAGCACAACTGAAATAAATCTGCTCTCAGAAGCAACCTTCCACATGAAATACAAACAGGCAATGCTGCCCCTCAGAAGAGTCATTTCAGAAAGTCAGTGAGAATGGATTTCCTTGCATCTTCATCAAGATGTAAGTTCTGCAAGTAAAATGATTGCAGAACACATGAAGACAAATAATGGGACAAATTTGCCTTTCAGTCTGATTGGAACAGTTTCCCACGTCATGCTGTAGATAGGGTTACTCCACTTCCAAATTCAGAAAAGAGGTGGTTTGGCCAGTCTTAGCAAGGTGATACAAAATAGAATGGATCACGAGTATCTGTTGTGAGTAAAAAAAAATCCCAGTTCTCAAATTAAAGCCCTCTAGTTGGAGAGTCATGCTAGATGCCCTAGTTTTCATATTTTTGCTCTTAAACATCACAAAGCAGATTCTTAATGTCCAAGCCCTTCCCAGATGCACAGAGGAATACTCCTCCTGAGTAAGAATTACACCTCTTAGGATCTTGAGCTGTATAAACTGCACGCAAGTATGAGCTGCAAGGGAAGCCTGGTACACCTTATCCCATTTGTGTAAGATTCCTGAGGAAGTAAATAGGTATCAGTCAGAAATGCAGTAACATCTTTGCTACTTTGCAAAAATCTTTTGTTAATCTAGACTATTAGTTCTTATCACTGGGAAAAATCTTCAAAATTATTTCCAATGTGTCCTCTCTGATACAGAGATAGCTCTTTTTCCTTTCACTGTGACAGCTTTCCATACCATCCTGCACTTCTGCCACCAGTCATCCTGCCATATCTACCTTTGCTGTGTCATTGTTAGATTCAAAAGTGATGTTTCATCACAAATCAAAGGCAAGTTTGTCAGAATGTTTTCTGGTGCTCTTGTATCTTAAAATGGGACACCACCCACTAACTTCCTTTTTCCCTTCTTTTATTATGTACAAGACTCCCCACCATGTAATCTGATTAATACGAGCTGTCAAAAAAATCCTGAATGCAAAAAATGAATTTTCATTTTCCTTACCCTTTTTAACATCACTAATAGTTTACAGTCCCAATGCCATTTCCCCTGTGCATCTTCAGCTAGCTTCATTCTAGAGAGTCCTTTCCTGGTTCCGGGATGAGAGATACTGAAAAAGTTATAAATGATCACATTTTCTCTATTCCACAGAAGCTGCTAAATAAGAGAATAAGGAAGGAGAACGAGCATAGGAGAACCAAGAATGGAAAATGCAAACCTAGCCAACTTCCTTAACCATTCAAGAGCATGTCCTGGGAACCCAAGAAAACTACAGCTATACATACTCAAGCATCCCAGATTTCAGAGTCAGCTTGTCTTCTTAATGACAGAAAGTTTCTTAAAACCATAAACATTAATTTTCTTTTTCTCTGCAGAAGGACAAATTCCTTTCAATGTG